TTTTTCTTTTTCTAAGACCCACCATGTTTAAAAGCTAATAGAATTAGTCTTAAACAACTGCATATGTTTTTAGACAATTAAAAATCTAACTTCTTTAATTCACTCTAGTGGCACATCTGGTAAACAGTTCAGTAATAAAGCAAAATTATACAGCATGTTTCAAAAAATAAACAGTTGTATTATGTTACACAGTCAAAATATTGCTGCTTTAGATTTCCAACACAACTACATGAGAAATTTTTCTGTGCACGTTTCCATCGAGGCTCAGCATCACCTCATTCTGTAACATAAAGTATTTGTGGTTGCAGACACACAGAAAGCTTATTATTTAATGAAAAAACTGGTGTTCCCTGTCTGCAGCACTTCCCTAGCACCAGCAAAAAATGCCTGTAACTGCTAGAGACTGGGGAAAGAGAAAGAAAGTGCTAACAGAATACATTTTTGACTACAGCCTGTTGCAAGTGGTGGGGCAGCAGATGAGAAAATGATGAGCATAGGATTGAAACAGAAAGGAAGAATCTAAGCAGTGTTGAAGTACCTATGGAAAACAGATAAGCAAGTGGAAATGATCCAACTAACTCTTCCTAGAGAGAGTTCTAAGTATGTAAATATGAGTGCTGTTCCAGTAACATAACCAGTAGAGAGCTCAGATTTATAAATCTAAAACTTTTACCTACTGGTTCTCACAAAAAGCATTCGACCAATAAACTATCACCAAGTACTGTGCTCCTCTTACAAATCCAGCAAAGCTGGCAATTTTTATTTTATCTATAAAAGGTGTTTTGAGAATAAATCATGGCTTAAGTTGGCATTTGACAGGGAAAACAAATGGCTGTTTTGCAAGCAGAAGCAATAGAGGCCAACAGGTACAGGCCTGCTTAAAAAGTCTTCATCGCTTTAGAGATGTAGATGACTTGCATCTCTCTTCTTGGTATGATGCTATTTTAGAACATAATGTTCATCTGAAAGCAATACATAAATATTGACTGAAGGTTCACCATAATGTGGGATGAATCGGCTCAAAGAAAAGCCAAATAAAAAAACCACAACACTATCTCACTGTTAGTATTTATTCCCAACTTAAATTCAATAGAGGACTGAGCAGCGTTTCTTCTGCAAGTGAGGTAAATTAATCAGTGCAAATTAAGAGCACTGGAATAGCTTGAGAGAGAAGTCCCATCTGAGGTCACACCACTGGAAACTCCTTGAAAGTTGAGAGAGTAGGAGAAGGTAGAGACTTCCTGCCAAGTATCAAATATCTCTCTAATTAAAATAGGGGACTATTCAAAACCTGAGCGGATGGCATCCCTAAGATTATCACTAGCAGCTGTGACTGCAATTATTATACATTGAAAATGCACAGGTAATGTACTGTATAATTTAACTGGATTGAAGAAGATTAGGCAGAGGGAACATTATCAAACCATTCGCAGTTTATACATTCCTAATAGATATGGAACCACCATGTAAAATCTGCAGTACAAAAATACATTTACATTTTCTCTTGAAGGCTGGACTAAGCCTTGCTTTGTACACTTCAACATCTTCCAGTTCAATTTTACTCAGACTTCCTGGGCCAATCAAGTCTTCTGCAGTGTCTAATTTTAAAAGATTTAATAGTTTTGTCAGAAGAAACACTAAACCACCTATTTCAATGCTCCTTCTAATATACATAGACAGAGCAAGGAGACAGAAGATACTTTTAATCAGAAAAAAATTAACCTTTAAAACAATGAAGAAATTCCAAGTAAATATGGTTTTCTATGTGTATGCAACTTTGCAGTCCTGTGTTTCCTCTCAAATTCTTCTGTACATGAATGAAATAGTGTTACAGGGTTTTTTGGTCCTCTGTATTTGAAAGCAGAAAAAAATGCACCAAAAATGTGTATTTCAGTTTTAGGGACCACATTTACAGCTAATTTGCTACAGCAACACAACAATGATGTAAGCATCCTTGTTTTACATTGCCTAAAGACCTAGCTGGTTATTTTTATGTCTACAGAAGCCCTTAGGGTGATATTTTTAGATGAATCTTTCTTTTTAACATTCTCTGCAAAATTTACATGTCCTCGTTCTCTTTGGGGTGAAGCAGTTATCTGAACTGGGGGAGCACAAGCAAACAGCGTCACTGAGCAGCCCTTGCAGAGAGCCAGGGTCAGGCAGTCTGTCTGGTGTGAGGATGGGGAACAACACTGCATTTAACCTCTGGGCCACTTAAAAAACATTTCCTATTAACACATACAAGTTCCTTTTGTGTCTTAAAGAGATGGTCTGCTAGTTTTAGATTATTAGGAGGATGAGTTTAGTGGTGTATCCACTGCATGTGTGGCTGGCATTCAAGTAGACTTTTGAAGCAATTAGATTTCTTATTAATCCCTTGGTTAATAGTCCCACAGTTCTTGTTTTCCATGTAACAAGGGGGTTGATTAATCCACTGTTTCTCAGTGTAAATGGGACAGATCTGTAAATATTATGGTTCATCAAAATTTGATTTGTTAACAGCTCTAGGACACTAGAAGTTTTCCACAAGTCACAGTGGCAGTACCAGCCTTTCATTTTTTCAATTTCTCACAGAAAATAAAGATTAATCATTGTTACTGTATGTTAGTTTCTTATTAACTACACAGATTTTCACTCATGTATCATTATCTCCCCATGATGCTATAAGGACCTGCTACTCCAGTACCATTTGGTCTCAGGGCCTGTTCTCCAGGCCTGATAATATTCCTTTATTTCACTTCCCTCTCTGCCCAAACTGCACATTATGTAATGGAGAGCCAGTTTAATAACAATTGGTATTAAGGTACTGTGTTGCACAGTATTCTGATATTTTAAGTACTTTGGAATTCTTTAAGTTCTTTTATTCCCATTTTCCAAACTCAAAGAAATGACAGAAGGTTTCAAGGAACAGTCAGTGACACTGTGCAAGCTTCCTTGCTGCACACACCTCTCCACATAGTTACACGTGAATATGTAGGTGCAGCATAAGTGTGCTGGGAGCATTTGTTACATATTCTACCTATAGCCCCACTGACCAAGCAAAACAGAGTACAACCTTTCTTAAGGGCATTAGCTCACCTTCTGTATTAACTGCAAATGGCAGTAAACAAGGAAAGTTAATCTATGGCAATTTTCAAATTGAGATGCTTCTTACAGTGCCAGTGAATTATATGTGATCATCAGAAAAACAGTTCCTCTCAAAATGCTGTATGCAAAATTCACATTGGATGTGGATGTTTTATTTAAAGTGGACTTAAATATGAAAGTGGACAAAATTTAGTATTCTAAAAATAACACATTTAGTTTCTAGGGACACCTAAAAACAGCCTTCCACTTTGATATCAAATACTACCAACTTCAAAATATATTCTTAAAATCTGCAACTAACCACAAGTTCTGCTAAATGACCAAAGGTGTTTTACTGACCACAGACATCTATATTTTTATTGCTAAGAGAACTAACATTCAGGTGTTATAACAGTCTAAAAACAGCAGGATGTTAATTTTCAAATACCTTTTTCCTTTGATCATTAAACAGTCAAAGTGAGGCACTTTTACAAGGGAAAACCAGAAATAGCAGGAAAGGAAAGAACATTCAGAATATATTTCCATTCATTCCTTTAAGAGCTGATGCTCATAGCTTTGAGGGCTATCTCATCTTTCACCAAATTCAGCATAGTCCCTTACTTGCAGTCACACTGCAGCTCTGCCAGCCTGCAGCAGCTGGAAAACAACTGCTCACAGATAACCTGAAGAGGCTATTTGCCAACTTTGGTTTGTGCTTATCTTACACTGTATATAAATCTAAGTCTGAACACAGGAGGATTTAGGGAGGAGGTGTGCCATCCTAAAGGCCAGCTAGTAAGGTCATACACTGAAAAGTTGCACACACCTGAAACTAAAATCCCGAAAAAGCACTGCCTAAAGCTGTGCACCACTGCCTTGTGCAGAACAGAAAGGAAATCCAATTTGGCATTAATGCCTTTTTTTTTCCTCCTTTTTCCTCTGCTTTCTTCTCTTATCTCCAAAAAGCCCACTCAAATCTTTCCAGTCTTTTCATTTCCATAAAAACAGCTTTTGCCATATTTTCATGAAAAAACAAAACCCTACATACAAGCAATCACAGCTGTCAGTGCAGCAGATACTGGAGACTGGTTGAACTTGCAGTGAAAGTTCTGGACTATTTCTACAGAAACCTGTATACCACTCATAATGATTCAATGGCATATGGAGTCATGGCAATAATTTTCAGATTCTCTTCAACAAAACATTATGGATCATTTATCGTGGATCATTTAAAATGCTTTTTGTGAAAGGAGTGGAGGGGCTAATGCCAGTCAGTTTTGAGCTCAGGTTCAGACTGCTCTGACCAAGAGTTAGTTCCCCGAGTTACACCAACACTGGTCAGACAGGAGTTTTGGAGCACCTCTGAATTGACAAGGCCAAGCAAACATGCAGAAGTCAGAAATCTCAAATGTTAAATTTTTAATTTCAGTTTTTTTGAAATAAGACAACACCATTTCAAACTACTCCAGAAGAAAAGGCATAATGTAAAAAGGTTTCTACTCTGGGAAGGTTTTCCCTTCATGCAGCCTTTACCAATATACAGCAAAACAACTCTAACTTCAGACAAGCAGCGACATAAAACAGACTGAATTAAGTCTGAGGACAATTGGAATGTTAACAGAATTCTCCCCAGAAGTTACCAGACTTTTCTACCTAGTCTCTTGGCTTTCACACACAGACACACACACACACACTTCTTAAGGTACTACACGATAAATTTAAAAAGTAAAAGAAGAGTCTAATGATAACAAAAAACACAGCAAGTTTGGTTGGATTTTTTTTAGTTCTAGTTTTTGCAAAAATGGGCCTGTTCTGCCACCAATTATATTTCAGAAATTTGTTACATAAGTACAATAACTGTCATATTTTCCCTTTCTTTTCTGTATTTTATTTTACACCAAAAAGAGGCTGTTCAAGTTTCACAACTCTAAATCATGCTGGGAAAGAAGTTGGTGACTGCACAAAAGCGAGGGGAGACAAGAGCCCTCTGCCTGGGACTGGGAATGGTTGCATGCTCCATGATGATGTACTTTTTTATTGGGATCACCATTGTGCCATTTTACACTAAGAGGTAATAAGAGTCATTTGTTTATGAAACAAAGCTATTCTTTTTCCTGTTAGTATCATATACAGTAATTTAAACAGTGATAAAGTATACATAAGTACATTGTACAATAGACAAAGTGCTCTCAGAGAGCTCATAAGGATTTAAAACAGAAGAGGAAAAAAGTGTGGCAAGAATTCATCAGGCACAGTGAGAACAAAAAAGAGGAAATTATTCTCCTCATGGCTAAACAAAACAGACTAAATCAAAACATTTGCTGTAGAATCAAAAAGCACACCATGCTTATCAAAGCTTGACAATGAAAAGCCAAGTCTTGCATAAATAGAAACAGTTAAAAAAAGCTCTTTTATGGGCAGGAGAGAGTCTTGTTTAACAGAACTTGATCAACAGAAGTCATGGTAAAATTGTTCACTCAAGAATCTGTATCTTACTTCCAAATTAACCATCATAAGAAACGAGCACCTTCAACAACCCAGGCAGCCACACCAAATATTACAGAACATAATGAACACTGAAGGAGTTATGAATGCCCACCCTCTTATTTAATTTTGTGAGTTCTGCCTACACACACAAAATCAATTTGCAAAATATCAAAGTAACAAGGAGTGCATCTCACTTGTTCATGTTTCAAGATTATGACAGAGAAAGCAAGGACAGCCGCCTCATTCTTCTTGCTAGAGCACCTTTAATCTCAAAACTATTTGAAATACATTCTCTTTAAAATAGAGTTATTCACATCTTTATTTTTCTGCCTCCAGATTACATTACAAAAGATGGATACATGTATCAAGAGTAGTTTCATAAGAACTGGAGTGAGACTCAACTTTGACACCAAAGTGTACTTCTGTGAGCAAAATGTAATGTGTTAACAATAACAGAAAAGTAGGTCTTGAGAAAAACAGATAAGCAACAGTAAAAATTAACTTTTCCCCAAAAAAATCCTGCTACTTATTTATGCAAGAGGCCCATGTAATAAAGAAAAAGAGAAGTGGGGAAAACAGATCTGAGTTCTGAGGCTTATTGAAAGAAATCAGTAAAAATATTTCTGAGATATGAAGTGCACTGCATTCCAGGTATTTACTACCAAATTTTAAAATCCATAGCACTATTTTTTTCTTGAATAATATGAAGCTGGTTACAGATGGGGAGGTCAGAATCTAACTGAAAACCAAAGAATGCATTAAAAAACCAGCAAAACCAGCAAAAACAACAAAAATGTTTTCCTGAACTTGCTATGGCAGCCCTTCTCCAGGTGCAGCCACTGATTCAGGGTGGGCACAGTTCATTACAGCAGGATGAAGCAGCTATGAACTCCAGCCAAGCCAGCACACACAGATGTATTTTCACATGCCACTTGCAACAGATGCTTCTGATAAGCTTAAAAGGAATACCTTTTGTTTTGTTTTTGTAGTGTTTGGACAACAGAAACTGTGTGCAAGGTACTCAAAGCCAACATCAAGGACAAAGTTTTCTGCCCAAACAGCAAAGGCTCAGAGGATGAGGAAATCTTTCCTTATCCCTGTCTACAGGTGTGGGTTAATCTGACAGCCTCAGGACAGGAGGTTATGCTCTACCAGACTGAAGATACACTGGAAAGAAATCCTAAGGTACTTGCAGATTGCAAACTCATTCTTTGCTACTATCTAACACCTTTGAGGAGAGGGGCTGATAGTTTTTAAACCGAGCATCTCAGTAACAGCAGGAGTCACTCATCTTTTACATGTTAACAATATCTTAAACCAAGGCAATTTGAAAACATTACAGAAACTAGAGTTTTAATTTTTTTTTAAATATTAAGTTAATACATTTAAAGGAACTACACCAACATGAATATACAACACCTATGAATATTTTAAAATATGTAAGTCTCCCAGTTGAAGACCCATTGTAACAAACAGTTTATAAGCTGTGGCTTGCTCAGTTGCTTGTTGAATTAGCAAGAGAGACATCAAGTTTAGAACCATCCAATGTAAGAGCACAAATTCCAATTTGACTTGTTTTTTAGGTGTATATTATTAAACAGGGAATAAAGAAGGAGAAAATTGCAACATGATGCACATTTTAGACAGAAAATGAGAAACAAATCAGTGAAAATTCAGACTCTTGGATGCCTGAGACTGAAGTACTTTTAAAATTTAGAACAAACATGTTCAGATTAAAAATGCAAAGCATTTATATAGATTAGCGCTTCCCACTGTGCAAACCTAATAGCATAAAACACTTCAGCTGAAGAGAATTTTTCTCGCTAATGCCTGTCTTTATAATGACTGCCTCAGGGAAAGCTACATGCAATAAAGAAGCAAACAGAAACTACCTACCATAGATGGAAACAAGAGCCTTGTTCACTGCAAAGGGAGGCAACTTCTTGATGTCCTATCTACTTGCACTAATGAAAGTAAAATTTTCAGGTCAGGAACCACCCCTGCTTTTGCCTTGGCCAGGTCCCGGTTTAGTACATTCAAGCATTATTATACACACAAAATAATACTGCAGAAAAAAAAATTTATGAACAACAACAAAAAGCAACAAAAAAATTACTGCTTCAAAGTCTCTTTCCAATGAAAACTAAATAACTCTGAATTATTACTACAAGTCAAAATAGTTTTGTTTCACAAAGACAAGTAGGGAGCCCCCAACAGCCATGCTTGCATTTTTCGACTACTTACAACCAGAGGTGTGCAGTGAAACAACTTCATTCTTGTGCACACTGACAAACCAGTGCGAATTTCTGCACAATGAACACCTTCCCACTGTGACAGTGCCTAGAAGCTCTGTTAGGAACTGGAGTTTGGCACTGTAATAGGGAAGTGACAGTGTCAAAGACTGCAGGGGTTTTTTGAGCATGTATGTTATTGGTTTCCAACAATGTAACCCCAATCTGTAAATCTGCAGACTGGGGTCATTGACATGCTGATGGAAAGAGGGAAGAGTGGCATGGCAAATGGACATAATGAAACCAAGACAATCTCCAGGGATGCCAAACCACAGAAGATTTTGTCAGTACTAGCATGATTTTTTCCCTCAATCTGACTTAACTAAAAACTTTTTATTGGAGTATTTGTTATAGTGAATCACCTTGATTTCTTATTTCAGTGCTCATATGTCCCAGACAAGTTGGAGAACTCTAAAGAAGTTAAAGCACGAATAGAAACAATTGCAAGCAATTTCAAAAAATACCAGACTTTCCCGTGTTACTATGACCCAGGAGGAACACAGACCAACGTCATTTTAAGCAGACTTTATCCTGCAAAAGGTCTCCTCTTTGCTTTCCTCTGGCCTACACTCATGTTTACTGGTGGATGTCTGATTATTGTTCTGGTAAAAATTAGTCAGTATGTTTCTGTTCTTTCTGCTTGGCAGTAAAAAATACATATCTAGCATAGATTGTTAGGATTGTTGGAAGATATTAAGACACATTTGTTCTGCCTGTCGTATTGGCAATTTATGACTCTTAATTTACCAGGTGTCAATTCAAGGGCAGGCATTCAAAAAAATTGAACAGCAACCTCTATAGATGGCAATTCATTACACAAGGACAAAATATAAAACTGATTCCCAGGAATGCCTGAAAAAACCTCATAAACACACAAACTTAGTTACTCTCTATTGTTTTTCTGGACTTTAGGAGGTAGAGCTGCTTTACAAAGCTACAATTAACATTTACTACTAAACTCTTCTTCCACATTTTAGATGGGGTTCTAATCTTCTGTCGGGTTGAAATCAGTTGGTGCCACATCCATATACATCATCACTGGCAGACACACCCTTTATATCCTACACCAATACAGTATGTTCTCATGGTGTACTCATCTGTTGAGAAAAGTAGCTTTGTTATGGTGCAAAAAGGTGTAATTTTTTTATGGATCTCTCTGCCTTTGGGAAAGGGAAGGGAGAAAGCCCCTCAAAACAAAAATACACATACACAGACTTTACAAAATTAGCACTGTAATTATCTGACACCAATTGTATATAAAGAAATATATGCATAAATTACAGGGTATGGTAAGGAAGCCTATACTAAAAGTATGTTTTTCTATTTACCTCAAATCTTAGCCTTGCCTTATTTGAGACAAGTGTGCCACTCAAGGAAGGCTACCTGGGTGCCATTTGCATAGATTATAAAACTGATACAGAAAGGAAGTCATGATATGTAGAATGTAGTGTCCTGGTTCTGGACAAGATAGGTTTAATTTCTGCAGGAGCCAGGAGGCGGCATGGCCAGGACCCAGAGGTTATTCTGTAGTACCACACCTCATTTTTTGGGAAATGGCTGCCTGCCAGCTCGGTTAGCATGGCGGGGGAATGGTCGGGTATTGTCAGGGGTGAGAACTCGGGTGTAAACTGTTTCTTGTACACTCTTTTATTAGTATTGTTGCTGTTACTGTTGGTTGTCTTTTTATTGCTGTTTCCAGTAAATTGTTCTTATTGCAACCCATGATCTTTGCCTTTTGTGCCTCTAGTTCTGCTCTCCAAATCATCAAAGTGGAGAAAAGGAGAGGGGAGCAAACAAGCAACTCGTGGTTTGCAGTGTTTCCAATTGAGGAATATCATTCTTAAACCACAACAAGTAAAATACATGTGTGATGTCATAATAAATACAGCAAGCCAAAGTAACTACAGAAATTTACATGCCTAGCACCAAGATATTTTACAAAAAGATACATTTGTTTCCAGAGCCAAGACTTCTAGGAATGCTCTGATGCACGGAGAGACTTTCTCTGATCTCTGAAAAGAACTGTTTCTCTCAGCCAAATTTCAAATTGCCATTGGACACAGGTGGAACATGAGATACTTCCTGCATACTGTATTTGACTGTTGTCTGGGACAAAACTGGTACAAGCTTTTTCATCGTGCAGTTGAATCTGTAAGAGCTATCATTCACAGGGAAGTTTCAGGGCTTAGATACATATTTAATTATATTACAGTTTAATTATTCTCATTAATGTGGTACAATTCTGTATTATTTATTGTAAGAAAGGCTGACATATTAACTCAGTACATGAATTCTCCAACATTACTAACGAAACAATGTCAGAGTTTGCTTTTCACTATGATCAGGAAATGAAAGGAAGTGACTGCTAAAAATTTTTTTAAAAGCTAACTCCCAAAAATTAATGCAGGAGAAAATCCACAAGGAGGAAAGTATATCCTCACACAATACGTTTGTGACATGCATCAGAAGTTGTGTGTATTTACAAGTCAAATCTCTCTCATTCCAGGAAAGTGAAAGTTCATCTGGCACAGGTACAGATGGTTTGGGTGACCAAGTTGGATGGGAGGGGAAAGAGAACCTGCTTTGTTAGTTCATAAAAATCTGAGGCAGAAGTGTGGTAAGCAGTTTTAAAAAGAGTCTCCAAATTGTGAAGTAGAATTTACTCATGACTGCACTCAGTCCAGCAAATTTGTAACACATCACTTTCCTCCCCATCCAGCTCAGCAGAGATAGATGAAGGTTGGATGTTGCTGGCAGACCCTGTGGCTCCACTCATTCAGCAGTCAGTGACCTGGGTTTGAAGAGCAGAAATTTGTGATCTTGCTGAGCTCAGAACTCAGCATGAAGCATGAAGCCCTGGAGTAACTGCTCTCAAATCTGCCCTTGGCTTCCCAAGGTTACCCCCTACGGCCTTGTAGGGGGTAATGTGAGAGACAACTGCTCCCTTTGAAAATTTAAAGGAGTTTATTAAACCTTAACAAAAATACAAGAAAGGACTACATAAGGAATAAGCTGCAGTGCTGGGAACTGCCTCTCATGCATACCACGTGGCTAGTTCATCTTCAAGATGGATGCTCAATCTTTTATACCCCTGGGGGTTGTATCAGCTAACCCTGGCCCCTTCAAAGTCTGTCAGTCAGCTCTTTGCTATTTATTGGTGGAAATGGCTTTTTTAAAACTTGATTGGAGGTCAAGTGTTGCCATGCCGCACCCCCTAAGCACCAAGCTTTTCCATTCCCAATTGTCCCATGCAAGGGACACATGTGCACGCCTTCTTTTTACCTGTCTTAGACAACCCAGCCTGTCTGATAGCAACAATACAGGGGGGAAGGGAACTATGGGGAGAACAGAGGACATTTAAACTACAATAACATAAGTATACATCACTTGAAGCTTTACTTAATATCCACACAATAGTTATCTTTTAATTATGAGAGCCAATCATCTCATTATCCATCAATAAAACTAATTATACTTATCCCTCTCAGTAGCAGATGAAAATTTATTCAGAGTGCAATCTGAATAACAGACCTCCAGACTTAACTCCACCAAAAATAAAGCAAGTTAATTCTAACATATGAATGGTTATTTCCTTTCAACTCACACCCATAGCAAGTACCTAAAGAAAAATCTTCCACAAATTCTTTCCTCTAGCAAAGTAAAATCTCCTATTTGGACAAGAAATATTCCATGTTGTATTGCAGTAAACATTTTATTTAGTTGTTGGTTTTGCACTGGGTGTTTGACAATCCGCACAGATCACATGGTCTTTCCCCCCCCCCCCCAAGCCCCGGTGGTAATGGTTTGTCCCAGGTTTACTCCTCCCCTCGCCCCTTCCTCACTTGAATCCCATTGGCTGTGGCCCGTTCCTCCGCCCCCCCTCCCTGAGCTTCAGTGTGCCGGGAGGGGCGCACACCCCCCTCGCCCCCCGGCTCTCTTTTCCTGGGACGCCGCCTGAATCCCGAGGTGAGTCCGATCTAGGAGCAGAAACAGGACTTTGGTCCCGAGAGGAGAGCGCCTCTGTCTCTTGCTTTTGTCCTTGTGAAGGCTGCTAGGGGCTGGGGTCCAGAGCTAGTCAGATCGGACTCGAACGGCCCCAGGAGAAAGCCAGCCATTCACAATTCCAAGTAAAAACAGCTGTGCAGAGAGAAAATCACACACAAATCGGGAAACTCCATTTTTTCTGGATTCTTGCCAAACACAGCTTCCTCTTTTGTCCAAAATAAATGGGATGTTAATGTGAAAAGCCAAATATTCTATTGCAGAAAACGAAATGTATAGACACCACAAAAGACTGTTCTTGTTTTTAAATAATGTTTTGCTTATGTGGAGAGTGCTGGTTATTTTCTACATCTTTGAAGTCTTTAAGTCAGATATTCTTTTTCCTTCACATTTTCACTTAACTTCAAAACCAAGTGTTTTTCCAGTGCATGATGTTGATGAATTACTTTTTTGAGCCACTCCATTTTTCTATTCTTTTTTATCTACAAAAGTTGTAATTCCCTAGACTGAAGTTTTAATAACGCACTCTATGCTTCTTACAAGCACACAAGAGACAATATAGCCTTTGGAGGTTTCTGTTTCATTGAGGTTTTTTTATGATATTGGATTATACCATAAAGTCTACAATAAATTTGATTTATAATGCTCTTTTTCTGAGATTCAGCAAAACACCTTCTATGAGAACAGCTTCCATACAAGCAGTGACCACTGCAGTTGCATAATTCACTTTCTCAGAGGCAGAGTAGATGATCAAAGTATATATTAAGCATTAAAACTCCTGCCAGCAGAAAGGAAGCAGCAGCACAAGCAGCTGGAGATTAAATTTATCCTTGAAATCTGTTTGATTATACATTATTTTTACTGGCATTGATGCTGAGACCACAGGAATAGTGCTTGAGCTGACTGGAAATTGTAAGGAATACAGGAAGAATGTGGATAGATTTTTATACCCTGATGAATACTTCAGTTGCACAGGCCCTTTATATATCTATATGAACAATAGTGTCTTCCTGAAACTATTAAAAGTCCCATTATTCAAGTGCTGTGCACTCTCACAAGCAGTTTTTCTTCCTGATGCCAAATAAGACTTGGTCACGGTGATTGTGTTGGAAGATGAAAAAGAACAAAAGTTACAGCACTATTATTGAGGGAACTAGCATTCCTCCTAGGCCAAAAAAAACCCCGAATTCCACCATCAAGAAAATTGCAAAAGTTTGTAAAAAGAAGCTGGTTTTCTGGATTAGCAAGATTCAGATTTCATCAACTTGCAATAAGATAATGTTTCTCCAACTTTGATGAAGCAGCAACAATGGGAGCTGAAGAGGAATCTGCACTGACTTGCTGAGAAGACATCTGTTAATCACCAGCATGTCCTTGCTGTACCTAAACAATAGCAGGTACCTTCTGACTTCCGCTGACAATTTTGAGTTCAGTATTCTGCTAATTTATGCTATTTTATTACCTGGTCCTCAAAGCAGCAACAGGGCAGCTATCATCAAGACACCGATCCTCAGAGATTCTTCACTAATATAAACTCGTGGCACTCGACAACAAAATGCCTTTCAACTGAGTTACTGGAACTCTGTGCTTTTGTTTTGGTTTAGGGGATTTGAAGGGGGAAAGGGGAGAATTATTGGTTTTGATTTAGGTTTTTTTATTTTTTTGGGATTTTTTGTTTGGGCTTT